ACTCTTTCCTCATTCAGGTACTTTATTAGATAACAATAAGAAAATATAATTAACTTAATGATAGCAAAGTTTTGAAAGTATGCTAAGATTGCTTGTCTTTAAAACTGGGGATAACCCAAAACCAAAGCAGTAAAATAAGGTCTGTTAATTAGCATGGAAGACAGCTTCTTGAATTAATATGTGGTGTTAATTAACAGGAAGTCTGATGTTGTGTTGTAATTACCACCAATATTTTTGACATACTGAGTGACTGAAGGTGAATTATATAGATAGCAATTGAGTAAACACTTTTGTGCTTAGGAACGTTTTCCTTTGTTTCTATTTTCTAGAAATATGGACAGACTTCTTAGACTTGGAGGAGGTATGCCGGGACTGGGACAGGTTAGTACATAGACTCTGAATATTTCTTTGTGTGTAAACTACAAGCCTTTCTGTAGTTACCAAAACCCAAAGAGAAAGAAATCACCCTCCAAAAAATCACCTCACAGATAACCTTATGGTAAGAAGCCTATCTTAGTGTTGGTTGCTATTTTGCAACAGCAACAAACATGTGGAAAACATTTGCTATTATCCTAATTTACTTTTTCTTCTGGGAAGAAGAGTTTTCTTTATTTGTTTTGTTTAAAATACTAGGATGTGTCCGATTATCAAACTTTCAGAAAACAAAAAAATACTCCTAAATAACCTCATTTCTTGGGTTTATAATGTAAACTTGAGATGCAACACATGAAAAAAGTAGACATCTCAAAGATCTCTTTGCCTGATCTTGAATTGACTTGTGAAGTGTTTCTATGTGCAGTCTTAGCAATTATAAATTCATACTAGCAATTATGATGCATGGATTAATTAATAAATAAATGTTTCTTCCTCTAAGTTTGGTATATGTGGCTTCTTTTATGTTCTTATTAAAATTACTGAGTTTTCTATTATAAATATTATTATTTTGCTAATGCTATTGGGCACATGGCCTCTGGGTAGATTTCTGTATCAGGATATTCTATCAATTTTCAGCTGAACAATTTCTACCTCTTTTGAGTTCTGTGCTGGTTGGCCTTCAAGTCATTCATTATATTATTAGTTTAAAAAGAGATGATTATGTATTGTTCTTTTCCTAAGACTTTTATGTAATTTACTATTTCATGATGAAAAATTGGAAGTATTTTTGGGAGGCGGTAAGTATTTTGTAACACATGTTTAGAACTCTTTTAGTTATCATCTTTCCCTCATGTCTTTATCACTGTCAGTTACTCTGTCTTCCTTCACTCAAGATAATATGGATTTACTATAAGAAACACAGTTTTGTTTGCAATTTCATGAAATTTTTGGTGTTAGGAATACTTTCACAAGAACATTTTGATTAGATCTCTCATGATTTATGACCAGTAATTCATTTTAAAATTATTATTTTGAAATCATCTTGTGATTACCTTTTATATGCTTGAATAGATTTTAGTTATATTTCATTTACTTTTATTAATTTTGAGTATTTCTCATAGTTTTTATGCTGCTGCCATCCTATTTCTTAATGTTTCTTCATTTTTGTAACATGTATATAATACAGTCTCTCAAGAGGTGTAAACTACTCTGAGCTTGACCCTTCCAAACCTCCTTCCATTTGCTTATAAACAGTCTAGACAGTTTCTAGAATATCTTCGATTTTTTTTTCTGAAATTAGAAATGATATGGCATTAGAAATGTCAGACGTAAATAAATAAATTGAAAAAAAATCAGACAGAAAAAAAAATAAAATAAATGGAATTAAAAAAAAAATGTCAGAAGTGAGCTGAGGTGTTATATAAATACTGTACATTTACCTGCAAGTTATAAAGATGTTGGCCTTAGAATTGGGTTGTGGGAAAAGTCATGACACATTTTTGCATAGAAAAACACGTCATGACCTTTCCCACAACCCAATGGGATTCTTTTTTTCTTTCTTTCTTTTTTTTTTTTTTTTTTTGGAGAGATTTTCACTGTAGGGCATGTGTGCTCGCCAGACAGACAGAGAGAGACATAGAGACAGAAAGCGAGAAATCACCCCCCAGGGGGGATGGTCACGCCGCAATCCCTTCTCCTCCATTCTCCTCTCGGGATCTTGGGCACACACGCACACGCGCCCGGCGTGAGTTTTAAGCCACCGGGTCCGGGACACGAACCGCGGTCGACTACGTGGGAGTCCAGCGACATAGCCATTACGCTAACTGCTGGTTCCCCCCAATGGAATTCTTAAGGCAAGTTGCATCAGATCTAAATGCCAAAATAATTTTTCTTAAGCATCAAATGCAATAAATTATGTATTTGTCTTGGATATCTATGCTGGAAAATTTTTGGACATGAAATGCTGACCCAGTGTTAAGCTACATTAAATCTCAGTGACTACTGCAAACCTTTTTATTAAGTGGAAAACTACATTACCTCTCATTGGTTTCTAATTATTTGATTGACCTTTGTGTCCTCAGTTTATACTTTCTGTTTTTTAATATTTGTTGTTGTTTGGTTCTATTTATTTCATGGAGGAGAGACAGGTACTTACAACAGGGCCTTCCTGCCACCTGTAACCATTTCCAGTCTCAGTTGGCATGCCTAGGGAGGGCCCAGGATGTGAACCCAGGATCTTTCTAATGTGGGCCAGTTGTAATACCACTGTGCTGTCACCTGGCCCCATTCAGTTTGTACTTTTATTTGATATGTTAGTTAAGAATCTAAGTCATTTCATGTATATATTTTATCTTTGCAATTAGATGACAAGCTCTCAAAGGAATAATTTGTAGAGTTATTTCTATGGTATCTGCCTTATCAGATACTTGTGTTCAATTATTTTTCTCCCAAATTTTATTTTTTTCTTATTTTGGGACTAACTTGACAAATACTTATAGTTTTACTTCTGCAACAGGAAATGTTGACAGTATTACTTTGAACAGACAGGAATGAAATGTTAAGTGTATTGTTTGTTTTTAATGAGAAATTAAAGTTCTCTGGATTGATAATAGCTGTCTTGCCATTACACAAGGCATAGTAACCAGTAACAGTAGAAAAGGAGATAATCTGCTAAGAAATAGTGGAAAATGTTAGTAATGGAAAAGGCAGAATTCTCTCACCATTAGGGGGAGTTCACTTACTTTTAAATTTGTAGGTGATTTTTTTTTTTTTTTTTAAGAATTATCTTACTGGGACCAGCAGATGGCGTAATGACTTCGTTGCTGGACTCCTGTGTAGTTGACCCTGGTTTGAGCCCTGCACCCAGTGGCTTAAACTCACACCAGGGACGTGTGCATGCATACCCAAGATCCGAAGAAGAAAATGGAGGAGAAGGGATTGCGACGTGGCCATCCCCCCCACCCCGGGGTGGAGGGGAGGGTGATTTCTCTCTGTCTCTCTCTATCTTACTGGCAAGTACATGCACCCTATAGCAAAAAATAAAAAAAAACCTCTCCAAAAAGAAAAGAATTGTTTTATTTATTATTATTTTTTAATTTGACCAGATAGAGAGGGAATGTGTAAGCAAGCCACCAGTTTCAGGACTCAAGCCACAGTCGGCCATGTGTGAGTCTAGCAACCTATCCACCTTACTACCTGACAGCCCCATGAATGGACCTTTTTAGTCATTATCTACACATGTAGCCTACTTTGCCATAAGAAATGTCCTAGACTATTCATATCAATATTTAACAGTTAATACTTTATTGGTTTAAAGGGTTTTTGTTTTGTTTTGTTTTTTAATTTCCACTCCATGTGATGGTTTATGTTCCTCCAAAATCCATGTATTATGATTTGGTTATGAGATATTGAGAAGAAACTCTGTGTCCAAAGGTGAGGTCTTTGGGAGTCATTAAGTGGTTATGTTAACAGATGGAAAAGTGTCGAGCTGCGTTATGAAATCCTTGGTTCTTTGGGTCCAGAACCCTAAAATTAGAGATCTGTCCCTAGGCGCAAAATGAAACCGCAACCAGGGAACCAGCAGTTAGCGTAATGGCTATGTCGCTGGACTCCCACGTAGTCGACCGCGGTTCGTGTCCCGGACCCGGTGGCTTAAAACTCACGCCGGGTGCGTGTGCGTGCGTGCCCAAGATCCCGAGAGGAGGATGGAGGAGAAGGGATTGCGGCGTGACCATCCCCCCTGGGGGTTGATTTCTCGCTTTCTGTCTCTATGTCTCTCTCTGTCTGTCTGGCGAGCGCACGCGCCCTACAGTGAAAATCTCTCCAAAAAAAAAAAAATGAAACCGCAACCACTAATGAAGTAGGTAGAAAAGATTTAATAGGAAAGAAAGGAAAGGAAAGAAAGGAAGTACACCCAGAAAGCTCTTGGGCAGGCAGATTGCCAGGTGGCTACTGCACTTGGTATTAGTTAACTGTTATTTTTATTACTAGAGGTCCAGAATATTCATTAGTGGGAGGCCGGTTTCTCTGCCTATGTCCTTCCTTTGAATTTGAATCCACACGTTTTTTTCCTGCACACCTGCGCACCTTCCTCACAGGTATGAGGAACTTCATCACCTAATTGTGCATCCCAGTGCGAGCCAGGTTGCCCCAATTAGACTGCCCAATTAGTCCATCGCCCTAATGGGAATGAGGGCGTTGACCAAAACGCTTACTTGGGTCTTTCTGATAAGAGAAAAATCTACAAATCATCCCTGTGTGCTTCCCTCAGGCCCCAAGGAAGGAAGATGGCAAATTGCCTTGCCCTCCTGGTGCCCGGAGCTAGATGAATCTTTTGCTTTTCTCTTAGGGCTGCCCACTCATGATTAACTAACTGCCTACCACAGTTAGAGTGGCCCCCAGTGACTGAGTTCTCTAGGTTTATAAGGAAAGAGACCAGAAGAGAGAGATTGATGGGCACACAGCCACTCTATTCTGTTGTCACCCTCATGATATGATTGAACTCTGCAGTACTCCCACTAGAACTAGCCTCTGTACCTTGGACCTCCAAACTGTGAACTAAATAAAACTCTATTTTTATATATCACCTGGTTTTACATTTTTTCTTTCATTAGCAGCAAAAGACTAAAACACTCCACAAGATTGCCATTATTTCACATGTTAGCTGTATTTCAGGTATCCCCAGGTCACTCACACTTGTGATTGACTGCCCATAACTTGGAGGTACCCTGAGCCCCTCAGGTTTGATAGTTCACTGAAACAATACATAGAACTCAACGAAGTGCTATACTTATGGTTAGTTTCATTATCAAGAATGTAGATCAGGAGAGTCAGTCAAATGAAGAGACATATAGGACATTTGGGGGGAAATACAGTGCCTCTGTGCCATCTTATGAAACGAGGGCATGGGGCTGACCAGTGGCCTAGTAGTTAAGGGAACTGGATCCCACATGGCTAACTGCACAGTTCAGATCCCAAACCCAATGAAGATATAAAGATTGAAAGAT